TATATATACATATAATATATATATATAAAGTGTGTTTGTTTTACTAGCAGGCAGAAATTCACACCCTACATTGATAAATTTTGCTCAGCCAAAGCAAATTACCTTGCAGGTCTAATAATCATGTCGCATTATGCTGTGTGGTTTCTGAGATGATGAGAGGTGATTGCTCTCGATCATAATCAGCTCTGGGAAAATATATTTGTCTCAGCAAATTATTGTCCAGGGAAATACTTGCTGCCCAGCTTTTTTTAAGTTTCCAATGAGCCCCAGAGCCCTGACAGCTAATCAGCTCCCTATAATATGACTGAGACACTAACTTTAAATGAGACCTGTAAAATACGTTTGAGTCATTTTTTTTTCACCATACAGTACACAATACTACCATTAATACCATACCATGGAGGGAGGAGGAGAGGGACAGAGAGAGAAGACAGTGTGGAAACATAAGGATAAAAATGTTGAATAAAAAACAAGGGTGAGTCATCACTAACACAACGAGTAATTATGTTTTCTGCTGCAACCTCAAATACACTCAATCTAAGGGAAACAAGTACATGTTTTAATATGTGGGCGCCTTAGTCAGTATTCGTCATCATTTTGACCCCAGCCACCACAAACACACCTATGTGACTCCCACGTCCATATTAAAAGAGAACACACACCCTTACACACACTTAAATACATGCAGTAATTTAAACAGCACAAACTGTCCTCTCAAAAGTGACCAGCCTAATGAAATGCAACTTTATTTGTTCAGTATAATTTTTGTGCCTTCTGACATTTTGTCCCTGTCTTTTTGAGTGGTGCACACTCAGCCACAGTGCTCAGAGCCTTTAGGAAATGGACGTGCATTCTAACCTGATGATCCATGCCCTGATCCCAGAGGCAAAGTGCGTGAGTGTGTGTGTGCGTGTGCATGAGGGGGTCTGCTGACTTCAACAGCTGGCTTCTTCCAATAGGCTGTCAGAGAGCACTTGCACTTAATGGCATCACTGCTGCTTGTCGATGTCAGGGATACTGAAGAGCAGACAGACAGAGAAGAGAACAAGACAAACAGGCATTTATTGTATCATAAATATCTACTGATAAACACTGTGACTGATAAACATCCACCTTTGTTTTTCATCATTTGTTTTGTTCACATTCATTTGTTCCAATGTCAGAAATAATTTTTGGTCCCAAAAGGTATTCAAGTTCTATTGAAAAAAAAAGTTATTAAAATTTACCTGAACTGTTGCTTGGTAAACAGCAGTCATTTTTGATTGTCAATGTTTAGGAGAGAACTCTTTATACGTGGCTCGGACAGCTGGAACTGGTTGAATCCTGAAATGGAGAGCAGTAGAAGATGCAATGATGAATTAGTATTGAGATTTATAATCTGTAATAATAGCTATCCATCTATCTATCTATCTATCCATCCATCTATCTATCCATCTTCTGTGTCAAAGGTTGATTATCATTTGTCCAGAAAGTACAGACTTCATTTTCCCACTGGAGTGAACAATGTAAACAAACAACAAATGAGAAAACGTAATCCCTACGACAGTTGGAAAGGCATCTGAACAGCACCACACTTATGAAGTTTAGTGATTCTTCAGGGAGTTTTCTTATAAGAGCCCTTACACCCGGCCCCTCCTCCAGAAGCCCGGGGTGTACTTGTATTCAGCTGTTGGAGTGTATCCCTGCACGTTTACAAGATGTGTGAATGTGGGGAGACTGTGAGAAAGAGGGGGTGTGTGAGAATGTGTATCTGTAGTTGCAGCTCACATAAACATACGGGGGTAGCTCCCACTGGACAGACAAGTTTGCTGAAGTTGGACTGTTGCTCCATGGTAAAATAGTTGTGGGGCCCTGCTTTATGATTAAAGAAAAAAAAACAAAAAACAAATAAAAGATCAGAAAAGAAGAAACAACATTCAAAGCATTTTTAACATTAAAGATTTTTAACTGATGTTAAACCATATCAAAAATCACACAAAAAAGTTAATTTTAAGGAAGTTTTCTAACTGTATATCTATACGTATATATTTATATACGTATAGATATTACAGTTGTTTCAACTCAAAAGTACAGTTTTTGATTTAAATTAAATATATCTGGTGCCTCAATTTCTGCTGTGCATACTTAGAAATAAATGCATCTGATAAATCATCCATGTTCTGTGGTGCATTCTTATTATGTAATACATAATAAATAAACAAAAGCTAACTTCACTGATAATAAATAGACAGAAATAAATAGATCAAAACAAATCTATTTACAAAACAAAACGGACCACCTTAAAAAATCTTTAAGACAGACAAATAGACAGAGAGAGAGAGAGGGCGAGGGGGAGAGAGAGAGAAAAGGAGAGAGAGAGAGAGAGAGAGAGAGAGAAAAGGAGAGAGAGAGAGAGTGACCAGTCAGTCAGGTTTGTTGTGACTCTGTGTCCGTCTTTAATGGTGTATACGATGATAACACAAAGTGGCACATGAACCATTTCATCTCCACCTTTTGCACCTGGAATTAAAACCAGAAAACATACTGAAATACACTAATATTGAAAATATGGATTTGTTTATACATTTTTTTTCATGTATTTTTTAAATACTTCAGATACCCTCATGCAAAGAACCAAGTATTGACTTGCACACATTTTGTTGAGACTCATCAAAAGCTCAGCTCCTTGATAATCTCCTGTAAAGGCTGGAATTACACTGATCTTTGATGGAGTAGCTGAACTCTGGTCTCTAAGACACTGCATAAGAGGGTTTGTGTTTCTGTCTTTTGTTCACTTTTTCATACATTTTACAGTCTCTCTCTCTCTCTCTCCCTCTCTCCCTCTCTCTCTCTCCCTCTCTCTGCGTGTGTTTAAGATATTGTGACACGTAAGTTTACTTTACAAATGCTGACATACGTTTAATAACCCTCCTTTATTCTCACAACCCCAACGCCATCATCCTCCATCATCCATTTCAACATCTCTCTCTGTGTGTTGGCTGTCGTTATTGGCTTGTGGGTGGTGTGTGTTTTGCTGCAACATGAAGCCCACCCGCCCGATTATGCACTGTTATAGAAAGCATTCACAGCCAAGTGAATTCACTGTACAGATGTGGATAAAGACAAGGTTCATTATACGTATCTCCTGGTGTCCCTCCTACACAGTATTTTTTTGAAGGACCTCCTGAAGTCATTGTTGAAGATGGTGTAAATGATGGGGTTCAGTGCACTGTTGCAGTAACCGAACCAGAAGAAGAACTTGAACAGGGTGTCAGGTACAGGACAAGTCTCACAAAGCGTCATCAACATGTATGTGAAGAAGAAGGGGAACCAGCAGATGACAAACACTCCTATGACCACAGCCAGGACGAAGGTGAAGCGTTTCTCCCTGTTCTGACGGCCCTTCCAGCGGCTGGCTCGGCTGCCCTGCTCCGGTTTCATACCATCGTCGTCCCCTGGTTTGATTTGGCTTAGTTTGGTCGCTCCTTTCCTCCCTGATGACTTTTTGATAGAGCAGGGACTGTTGACTTTGTGGTCAGAAGACGACGACTCCTCAATGTCCACTCCATTGACCTTCTGCTCATCTGCTCCTCCTTTCACACACTCTCCCTTCTTCAGCTCACTCTCTTTCTTGCCGTTGAGTTTCTCGAGACAGAGGTGATCACCGGCACCGATGCCATTCTCCTTCCCAGCAGCTATGGTCTTTGGCGTCTCCTTGCACTTCCTGTCTCCGGGAGGTGCCCGGGTCCTCTTTTTGGCAATCTGGTAGATCCGCACATACACCAGCACCATGATGACACAGGGGAGAAAGAAGGAACCGATGCAGGAGGAAATGACGTACCACTTGTCGTTGTTTATCTCACACACTCGGCCCATCTTGCTGTTTTCCTTCTCCATGGTGATGAGTGGTGGGAAAGAGATAACTGCTGCGATGACCCACACAATAAAAATGATGCACTTAATGCGGCGTGGCGTCCTCTTTAGATTGTACTCAATGGCCTGTGTGATAGACCAGTAGCGATCTAGGCTAATGGCACACAGGTGAGCGATGGAGGCAGTGCAGAAGAGAACATCCAGTGCCAGATAAATTTCACACCATAACTCGCCAAAGTACCAGTAGCCCATTAGCTCATTGGCCAAAGAGAAAGGCATCACAAGGGTAGCCACCAAAATGTCCGCTGATGCCAGAGACACCAAGAATAAGTTCTGCGGTGCCTTCAGGGCCCGGCTTGTAAACACGGCTATGACGACGAGAACGTTACCGAACAGTGTGAGAAGGATCAAGATCCCCACCATCACGGTGAGCGACAGTTGGAGGCTCAGCGGGGCCGCCTCTGGCAGAGTCTGGTTGCTGTCATTGTTAAACTCCATTGAGGCAGATTGGCCCACTTCTTTACAGGAGTTCAGCTGAGGTTTCCAAATATCATCCACCAGGAAATACAGAGCTAGACTGGAGGAGCAGAATCACTCCTCTGGGGCTGCTCTGGCTGAAGTCTCTGTCATTGTACAATGCCTTCTCAGGAAAAAAATCTCTAATGGGACTTACATCTCTGGAGTAAACAGGGAAAATCTGGAAAACAAACAACACAGGAGGGGAGGAAAAATTGTTGTCATTTTGACTTAAAATCTTAATGATATGATGATGATTCATACTGTGGCTCTTGTAATCGGCAGCTGTCTCTGTTTTTAGATACAACAAAGACAAAACAGCTTCTCTCACAGCAAGCTAAGGCATTAAAATTCTCTCTACAAACTATTTAACGATTAAAAAAGAAATCTTACCTGTAGCGACAGCAGCGGCAAAACCTCCCATCCGTGATAGACACCGTGCGGTAAAGAGCCGGTCAGCGGGCAACTTCTTTAGGTCGATCAGTGGAGAGGAGAGAAGATCCATTTGGCAGATGAGGGGTCAAGTCTTTCCTCTGCATCTCCCCTCTCTCTCCGCACAGTGATCCCTGGGCAGCATCTATCTGTGCTCGGCGGCGAACCTAATAGAGCCTTAATCGCGTTATCCCGGCCGCTGCTGTCTGCGTGTGGATTTGTGGAGCGTCTCCCTCCTCACTGTACACCAGAGCGCCACTCCCTCTCTTTATAGCCCGCACGCTGCAAAAAGTGTCCGGCTCACCGGGTCACCGTGCAGGGTGTCAACACAGACACACATGCGGGTGTGACAACGATGGCAGCCGCTGTCAGAGTGAAGAGTGAGAGGAAGACGGCAGACAGACACACGAGAGAGACGCTGTCAAGAACAAGACGCCATGAGCCGCACAACACATAAAATAAATAAATAAATAAATAAATAACTGCACGACAAAAATCGGTGTCATTAATATAGTTTTACAGCTTTAATGATCTAATCTTATATAAAGCTATCAGCTTCAAGGGTGTATTTTTGGCTTTTTCTTTTGTAAGTGTTCAAAGAAAATTCAAGAGAGTAAAACTGCTGGCCCAACCCTGGCACGCAGCCCACCTCCGTGTGGCACACATAAAAAATATAATTTCAAAATTAAATTAGTAAAAAAGTCATACATTAGTTATATTAATAATATTTAAAATATTATTATAAATAAAAATATTATATCTTTTCTTGGCAGTGGTTTTCCCAAGCACTGAAAATCATTTAGCAGCAACTGTAAATTTCAACCGCATTTACAAAAATCTGGGACAAAAACACAAACTGGAAAATCAAATGCACCCTAGTGGTGTCATTCTTCTACTGTGTACAGCTGTGACGCTCCACCAGAGGAAATCCTAGTACAAGGTCATAACTGACTGGATTTATTCAGATGGGTCATTTCAGAGTGACCCTTACTGGACGGCTAAAACATTTTTTGCAGTGTAACAACAGCTGGACACATGGTGTGGACAAGACCAGAGGCAATTTATTAGTGTGACAAAACTTAATTTGTCTGACCACTAGGGATACAACGATGCACACGATTCTATCACAATTTTTTTTTAAACCAAATGATCTCCATTATGACCATAAACTATAACCCTTTATTATTAAAACTAGGCAAATTACCATTACCAACTGAAATTGTTATCTTAAACAACAGAATACACAAAATTAATTTCTTTACAGACACACTGCTCATCATCGTTAATCTCCTCTAATTAAATGTAAAACTGGTCTTGTCATCATTAACTGTCACTATATTAATCAACAAAATGATTAATATTAAAAAATATTAACTGGAAAGAATGCCTTTCGTTACAGAAACTGTAAAACACTTGAACACCTGAATGTCACTTAGGCTAGGTGATGTGACCTGATGTCTTGGATTAATAAGGGGGTCACAACTAACGTTTTTAGGCGCATATCGCCACCTGCTGTATTAGAGTGTGTAGTCTCATGGTATGACCACTGAGGTTTTGAGATAACACAGCTTACTACTTATTTTTATGGAGAATTTTTTTTTATTTCAACTGATGCCAATTGTCCCAGATTTGTATTGATTTTTAACTGATTTAGGTTACATCTCAAACCTTATGTGCAGCATTGTACATTGCACTGTGTAATAAAAAAATCAGTGCAGACAGTGTGGCAGATGGGTTCAGTGTATATGTAGAGTTACATCAGGGTACGATGTGTACGATGATGTTTTCTAGGTAAACCAGTGACTAAAGTGAGAGACAAGTGGTCACTGGATGACAAGACACAGCATAAAAAGGCTTTTCATAAGACAAAGGGTAGGTGAGGTAATCCACCAGCCCAGACTGGGTGTGACAGGAGCAGACAGAAGAAAAGCCAAAGAAGTGTAAGAGCAGAGGAGGCGAGGAATCAGGTAAGACAGGGGTGACTCCACTGTAATGACAGGAGCCGCTAAAAGAAGAAGAGGACTCAGAGCAGCAAAGTACCAACAGGGCAGGGATAAGAACATGCTTGACTTAATTAACATCATCGTCAAATCATTTACCTTAGGACTTTCATGTCTGTTCATCACCATCAGAATGAGTAGAAAATGATTAGTGTCTTACCTTACAGTGAAAAGATCACCAGGAGCTGTTCTACACTGGCCAACTGTCCAAGATTTACCCTGTCCTCACTGAAGACTGCAGGGAATTGGTCCAGCAAAACACTGAAAAGGAAAAACTGTAAAAAAAAAATGGATGGGAGGATGACTTTGGTTAGATTTTTTAAAATTACAATCTAATTCAATGGAAAGTTTGGCAGGTTGATCTTACTTACCATGTAATTGTTTGACTGCGTAAATCGTATTCATGAACTAGGCTGACATGATGCGAGTCACACTATAAACAAAAACCAACATGTCAAACAATAACTACATGTGTTTCTGATGCTGTTAAACTAGATAATGTAACAATTACCAAAACAAGGCCGTTTTTTTGTTTACTGTGAAATTTTAAGGAAACATGCGATGGACTACATGACCATGCTATGACTGGAGTCTTACAAAAGCACTGTTTAATATAATACAAATATAGAAAAAGTTAAATTTTTATAGGCTTCATCATATTCAACACAATTGTTTTTGAATCATTTCTGCAATGGACAAGAAGATAAACAGCATGTGTTTAGATCTCATCCATCAGGGGATTAATGATTTTCTGGACTCACATTAGTGTCTTCCTGGAACTGGGAACTCATCTTACCACAAAAGCTGTAACTTACTGTCGGCCATTTTACCCTATTGTTTGTGTTGCTTTTCTGTGGTAAAGTTGAATCTTGCTCTGGGATTTAATGGAAAATTCCTCTGACATTGTGGAGGGACACAGAGTACCCTCATCACACTGAGTGTGTGCTGAACGTGGTCAGACACAGCAGCAAAACCTAGTGCATGAAAGTAACATTAATAAAAAATAAACATTGATTTTTATCATGCCGACAATTTAAAAAGTAAAAAGCAAATATTTAATAGTGGTCTTTGCAGTGCATGCCAGTGACAGCACTCGTCAATGTCGGCTGATGAAGCAATCCGCAAAACTCAACAACTTAATAATGTTGACTACATCTTTAAATCACCAGCAGATGGCAGTGTCGCACTAGCTCAAAGAAGGCAGCTTTAATTACTGTGGGGAAAAAACGAAAACTAACGTTTAAAAAAATTACTTCTATCTTTACTCACTGCATCGAATTATTATGATTATTATTATGATTATTATTAAAGTGGAGCCATCACAGTGATGCATTTTGACGAGATAAAGGATTAGGTAAAACTAGGTGGCAAGAGACATGAAAATCAGATCAAAGCAGTTGAAGACCAAAAAAAAAAAAAGTGGAGACAGAGGATCCTCTAGCTGAACAGAGCAGCTAGAAGAATATGTGATTTAAATCTTAGTGATCTTGTCATGTGTGGCTCTTCCTTATTTAAGAAGTTATACTGAGTATAGGTGCAAAGCCAGGAAAAACAAAACAAAAAAATAATTATCTGTCTTTACTAAATCACTCAATCTGTCATCAAGGTTATGACTTCACAAAGGACGGTCAAGTCAGATATAAAGACAGACCTTAGGTAAGACATTTTGGACCAGAACTGTCGCTTAAAGACAGGTATGTCCAAAGTGTGGCATAGGTGCCAATTGTGGCCCATGATCAAATTGTATACAGCCCACAGCCCATCATAAACCGCATCACAAGCGGTGCTTATACATCTGATTTTATTTTTAAGGTTCAAAAAATGCAGAGCAGAATGGAATTAAAAAAATGTTCACTTGATCAAATCTGGCCCACTTTGAAAAAGGTTTGGACAGCCCTGCTTTAAGGCAAACTAAATATTATGTCAGAAGAACTTTTTGTTATAAAAAAAATATTTTAAAAACCACAGTTATGCTTAAATTCGTATTATCAACTGAACATGTTGATCACTGACCTTGAGATTATGACGCACGACGAGGACATAAAAAGTTGCTCACGTTCATTTAAATCTGCAGAATAAGAAAAATGCAAGTCAGTTTCAGTGGAATTTTCCTTTAATGCCAAAGACAAGTGAGACGCAGGTCCACGCACATCCACTTGGGAGCATAATGGCATAATCTTCCATTGCACCACTTGTTGTAAAACCCTTGTCACATTACAGATTTCCGTAATATTGATTCTACCGCAACATCCAATTACTGTACAGAGTAAAAATAAAAGTAAGACAGGAAGAAATCAGACCCAAATTTACATCGTAACAACCAGCTGCTTGTCATGAAGTACAGTTAATGGCCAGAGACACAAGGAGAAGCCAAACAAACACATAGAAAAGACCATTAAGGCTGCTTGTTTATGTTGATTAAGTAGGTGAAGCATTGCCAGACAACGCTTTCATAACCTTTGCAATATGTAAAAAGGGAGCATTTGCAGATACACCAGCCACAAAATTAAGGTAAAGGAAAAAAAGGCAGAGATGCCTGAATCTGACCCAGACGACTCGGTCAAATAAACACGTCTGGTTCCTGTACAAATGAACAAGGGGTAAAACACAAGTCACATGACCCAGAGAAGAGGAAATAAAAAGCTCAAGATGCAGAAATGGTGATGGATTCTGCAACGCTCTCCATGACCATAAACTACAGACAATAGAAAAATAAACACCAATTATTCTCTGATTCACCAGTACACAATATATCAACACTCTCATCCAATCACAGGTGACACCTTCAACTAAGTGGGACAGTCTGTGATCTCCACCTGCCTCGAGGCAACTTCAACATCCACCCTCCCGTCATTTCACCACACTCAACTTGTCAGGTTCATTTTCTGCCTTTCTATTATCATCATCTTCATCCTCCTCCTCCAGGGGGGATTCTTAACCTTGCAGAATGGCACATTAAAAAGTAAAAACAGAGACCAAGTGAAAAAACTGGTCACAGCTCTCCTGCTGCACACCTAATGCACATCTCACCCTCTTCGACGGCATTTCACACAACTGTTTACAGCTCCACGTAAACAAAGGAGACAAAAGACAAACTTTCAAAGCTCTTCTATAAAATACAGGACTGCAGTGCCTTCAGCGTGTCATCAAGCCTGAACACAGAAAGCCCTTTTTACACAATTTTGTTGTTTGTTCGTTTTTTTAAACGTCAGTCTTGTACTGTAACTGTAACTGCGTTAAGCTCAAATGTGCACCTTGTTGTTCCATCTCATCGATGGGACTGGACCATCATCTTTGAGACAACAATTGGGCCAAGCTGAAAAGCTCAGTGGGTCTGTCCTGTGTCAGGGTATTTCAAGAGCCTGCAACAGTGTTGGAAGGTGGAGTCCCTCCTCGTGCTGTGCCCAGCAGTATGTTAGAGTCCAGGTGGAGAAGCAACAGGTTCTGCTGGTAAATCAGAAGCAGCGTTACATTTTTTTTCCTTAAACCTGACCTCTGCTGAAGTGAGCTGCAGAGCTCATCTCTTCAGCCAGACCACAGTCCACACACGACAATGCTGAGCTGCTGCAAAGAAGAAAAAATACTTGTGTATGTGTGTATATGTGTATATATATATATATATATATATATGTGTGTATATACCAGAACCAGGGCTGAATATAGGATGGAGACGCAACACATTTTTAGGAATGGGGGGAAAAAAGGCTGATTACCTTTAGTTGGGATTTTACAGTTACTTAAAAGAAAATAATACTTGGCAAAGAAACATTTTTTTCATGCAAGAAAAAAAAAGAATGTGAGTTGATTTAAGAAAAACAAAGCTGATCTAAATGATAATTGGCATTTCTCACTTGTAATGATAACCACCAGATCCACACCTGTGTTTATACAGTACAAAAAAAAACCAAAATCAGAATACACCAGTAAACTAATAAAAGAAACACTTGACAGAAATAGCACAATAAAAAAAAAAACTGTAGGAGGGTTTTTTTCCCTAGATATAGATGGAAAAGTGCGTGAGGGCAGCAGCATTACTTGGTCAGTGTGGGACCAAAAAAAATAAAAAATAAATCGATATATATAATATATATATAATGTGACCATCAATGGATTTTTGGGAGACCCTGTTCGATTGTAAACCAAACTAAACAAAAATGAAGTGTCAAGAAGAATTTACCTGCCCATATTTTATTATGAAACCATGTTTGAAGCTCTTATACTTTCACCACAACTTTCTGCAAAGACAAAGATCAGAACTTTAAAAAAATGTTTGATATGTTGGTCAATGATCAACCACATTACAGCTGTGCAGCAAAAACACTGAAGATAATAAAAAACAGGTAAACATAACTAAATAAAAAATTGCACTCGAGGCGAAAACCAGGATTTGTACACATATATAAAAGCATCTCCTAGCATGTATCCCATCACCTACGCATGTCTGACTTCAACCTCAGCCTTACACACTGATGTCACGGCACCACCTGCTCAAGTCCAACCTCCTCATCCTTCCTCCCTAAAACCTGTATGTTTGGCATTTCTCAAATTACTAACTTAATGCTGAATAACCGCTGCTGATACTTAAAAAACAAACAAACAAAAAAAAAAACTCCAATTCCCCTATTGTACAAATGATATCAATACTATTGACAGATGAATACAAAAAAAAAAAAAAAAAAACACACAAAAAAAGTAAAAACAGCAGTAATAATAAAAAAAGAAATAATTTATATCTTTGTATTTTTGTTGACATTTGTGCCTAGAAATGAACCACTGGTCCACTCTAAACAGAGGCACGATTAAAAAAATCATAAAAAGTATTAAAAAAACAATAAAAATGATGACAAACCATCATTAGAACTTTGTTCAAGAAGCAATTAACATAAGTTATCTCAAGGAAGATGATAAAAAAAAAGAACACTAAAAAGAAAAAGTATCAAGATGACAGTTAACATTATGGCAGCAGCAGTAAAATGTGAAGTTCAAAAGACTTTTGTTTTTGCATACAATTGTATCCTTGCTCACATTACAGATGCTTGCAATGACTTTAAATACATTGGCCACAGGAGCATGTTTGTGAATGGTTAGAACTTGCCACTTAGCTCATAGTATATATATATATATATATATATATATATATATATATATATATATATATATATATATATATATATATATATATATATATATATATATATATATATATATATATATATAAAAGTAAAATTATGGCAAGTGGATGAAAATATTTTTCCTGAATTGGAATGAGATGAACATGGTGTTGTGTGGGTCCCAAAACATATGTGAGAATTCCTGGATCTACACAGAAGTCCCACCTCCCCATTTGCCGAATTCCTGCTAAAGGTTGTTAGACAAAATGTTTTTTCCTCTTTTTCTCCCCCTCTCCTTTCCTTACCCTGTGGCAAGTCTCTGTACTTTACATGAGGAGGCCACGCAGCACACGTGCAGGGTTTCGGAGGTGCTTGGATTCAAGTTGGACTGATATTGAGCTTCCTTCCACTCAAACCATGGCACGATATGGTCCCTGCATCTTGAGGAACTGTATAATGAAGGAGGGCCCCCCCGCGACAATCTGCGGGGGCAGGTGGCTGAGGGGACAGTTTTCGATGCTCATGATGGACAGCTTGCTGCAAAGGGCCAGCTCGAATGGTAAGCTATGCAGGTTTGGGTTGTCATTGAGGTACAGCTCCTCCAGGTTTTCCAGTGTACCTGAGGGCAGATGGACCATTCAAACTTGTCATGTTTTGTTGTGTAAACACAACTAATATATTTGCTATCACCATAAAGCATGGATGTCAAACATACAGATTCAACACAACAGGGTTACACTGCATGTTAATGTTGTTTTGTCAAATATTCCATTAACTATTATTTTTTTCCAACATATTTGTACTTATTTGCATGAAAACAAAAGGGGAAACATGGACTGATTGTTATTTATAGGTAATCATGTTATGATTGTACTAGTCCAGCCCACTTGACATCTAATCAGGCTGTATGTGGGCCCTGGACCAACATGAGTTTGACACCCCTGTTGTGAAGTTATGCACATTAAAAAAAAATCTAAAATTTTAAATCTAAAAATCTAAATTTTTGGAACTGATGTTTATTGAACATAATGAAAACCACGTTATGTGTGTATTGCATTTTAGAAACATTTTGAAAACATTTTTTTCTCTCTGAATCTTATGTAGCAGTCAAGTGAAGCTCCCCTTAACATGTTACAGTGTATTAATTGTGCACAAAAAATAATACAACCCTCAGAATGGTAGCAGGAGGTATATGGAAAACAGAAACTATTGCAGCAAATTGTTGCAGCACCACAGCATTTTAAGCTGCACTCTGGAAGATTCTGGTCAATTTAAATTGAGTTCTAAATTATATAACTGACAACTTTGTGTTTACCTTTATTTGAAAGAACAAATGGTTATTATTAGGGATGCACCAATGCATCGCATGAACATCGGTATCAGCCAGGCTACTGTGAGTACTATTCACAGTGGATAACTCGTTACTCTCTCTCTTCCTTCTCTCATGTGCATGAGATGAGTATTTACCAATCTCCTCAGGAAGGTGTTGCAGCAGGTTTTCACCCAAACCCAGATGAGTCAGGTTGTTGAGGTGGCCAATGCCTCTGGGTAACGTTGTCAGCTGATTATTTGTCAAAACCAGTTTCTAAAGCAAAGATAAGAGAATGAGATATTTAAAAATGACTTGTCAACATCGTCAACACATAACTGGATCACAGTCAAAATAGAAGGAAGAGTTTCATTTGTTGTGTTATATTATTTTTTTAATTGTTTGGGAAAACAGAATACAGTTTCTTCTTCTTTGCACGATGCAGTCTCAGGGAGCTTTTTTAAGTGCCAGTGAGTGATGAACAACAATCCTAAAAAGACCAGTCTCTTAGCTCATGCTCTTTATATATACAGTTTTATTCCCAACCTAAACTTGTAATCAGTTAACTTGTCATTTTAAGGTACCTCCTAGAATGTTTCCTTTAAAACCTTCTCAGTCTTATTTTGCTCCCGTCTACATGTTGCAGTGAAAGTCCATCAAGTTCCTCCAGATTGACAGTCTTCTCTCAACGACCCTGGTATTTAGTTAGGCTCAGTTCAGTTAAGATTATTTAAAGGTTTGTTCGGAAATTTGTCTTGATTGAGTCATTACTATTCAGGGATTACAGTGGAGCAGTGGTGGGTCTCATGACAACAGAAAGTTTTTGGTTTCATACCACCAAGTCTCCAGTCCCAAGCTTAGAAATCCCAAGTGTAAATCCTCTGCCAAATCACGTGGGCTATGGTGACCCCTGATAAAAAGGGACAAGCCAAAAGTGATTCTTCTTCAGAATCATCATTGTTTATTTTGGTCTTTTTGGCCATGATGGTTCCTTCAGTCAATGTCACAGTACAGTCCTTTTTTCCAAAGGTGTAACGTGTTAACCCTTCAGGAGATTCCATGTTCAAGATACACAAACACACAAGGCAAAATCTCAATGTCCAGAATTCTCACAGAAGACTGTCTGTATCATACTTCACTGTGGCTAGAACCTCTGCCTTTATCCAGCATCATATGAATCTCTACATTCAGGTTTACATGAGGTTATCTTTTCTTTTGGATTGGCTTGCCTGTGCTAGGTCAATATAATATATAATAATAATAATATAAAATAAAATTCAACAAGGAAGCATTGCATCAAAATAAAAAAAAATGCAAACACATACCTGTAGATCTTTAAGATAGGCAATTTCATTAGGCAGAGATTCCAACTTGTTCTCCTCCAAGTCAAGCTCTCGCAGCTTCCTCAGATTACCAATACTGTGTGGTAACTTCTTGAGAAGATTATTGGACAATATTAAGACCTGTGGAGACATTTGCATGGCAAACACAAAACTGACATGTAACTTTACCCCAACATAATGCACTGCTTACTGAGAAGATACATTATTTTGAGTTCAAAAAGGTTGGGGTCTTACCTCCAGAGAGACCAAACCACAGACATCCTCTGGGATTTTTGTCAGCTGATTGGTGGCCAAGTTAAGCTCGACCATGCTCGTCCATGTGCCAAAGTCCAGTGGAAGGGATGTTAACTGGTTGTCCTGGTGAAGAAAACAGGTGCCATTTTGGTAAAATAAGTCACAATACACCCCTTGACCTGTAAAATTGAGTGCACACATTTGATATTAAAGTTCATATTCATATCCCATATAGTGAACTGATATTGATTATGGCATTATGAAATGATTGACATGACAAATGGAGAGAACACTCACAGATCACAGAACACTCTCCAAGGAAGCATTAAGTGTTGAAGCTCACAAAGCAATCATTGGCTAATCAGTGTCCTAGTCACTCTTGGTAACAATGTAATAAAAATAATGATTGGTCTTAATAAAAATAGGAAGTCTCTCAAGGTGTATGACATCCAGAGCTTTTATTCACTTTAATAAAAAATACCATCCTTTTTGCCATTTGTGTTGAATATTTACAAATTTACGTGATAAAACCACGGGTTCGTGTTGAAAACAAAAACCATGCAGACAAAAATGTGAGACATAAAGCGCAACAGTTGATAAATAGAGGCCAGTGAACGTACCTTCATGTTAAGCTTGCTAAGCACTTTGGCTCTGGAGAAGATACCAAAAGGAATCTTGTTGATGCGGTTGTGCTCCATGTTGAGGGAGTAGATGGTGGAGAACTGGGATGGCCCGCCCACTGGGTATGACTGGAAGCAGTTTCTGGCCAATGTTAGACTGGTCAGCTTGACCAAACTTGACAGAAGGCCCTGGTAATGTACATATGCAGAGCGGTCATAAGGTCAGTACAAGAAACCCTGCATCACCACAGACTAATCGGGCTCAGTTTGCACTTGGACACCAAAAAAAAAAGTGTGTGTTAACTGCAAATGCAAAGTAGGCATCAGATTTCAAAGTGAATTACATTTATATTTTGGATACAATATGCACTTATAATAAGATTTAACGTTCAAATTCTACTTACCTCTGGCAACACTGAAATATTGTTGTTTTCAAGGTTAAGCTCCTCCAGTACTCGACATTTGGCTAATGATCTGGGTATGGCAGATAATCTGTTATATCTCAGACCCAAGCGATTTATGCTGGCCAGATTTCCTGAAATTATACACAAAAGTTTGTCAAATATGCTCCTTCTGATCCATTTTTGCATTGACAAAACCAGTACGTTTTACCTATAGTCTCGGGGAGGTCCAAGAGCTCATTGTGCTGTAAGTCGAGGTTGGTTATCTGTGTGCAATTGCCAATTTCCTTCGGTAGATGTTCCAACTGGTTATGGGCAACATCCAGAGTGATAAGGCTGCAAAGCTCTCCTAAAGTAAAATGTGAACACAATCAAAATACTGGCTACACTACGCTTACTAGTTACAAAATGATTAAATAAAATGTATCAGCCAATAGGCAGGCAACACAATGTCTTGCGTTTACACCGGTTCCACTTACCTATCTCTGCAGGAAGCTGTTTAATCTTGTTCTCACGGATGCTGAGCATACTCAGCTTGGATAAGTTTCGGATGTCCTTCTCCACTGTTGTGATACGGTTGAAGCGCAGATACAGTGTGGTAAGAGACGTCAGCCGGTAGACAACAGCCGGTATCTCTCTGAGCTTGTTGTGCCGAAGGTCGAGCATTTTAAGCATCTTAAGGGAGTCCAGGGAATCAGGTAAACTTGTCAGGGAGTTCTCACTGAGGGCTAATGTTATCAGGCCTGATAGGCAACCCATCTCAGCAGGCAGACTCTGCAGCTTGTTGCTGTATAAGTAGAGTTCAGCAAGCTGTGTCAACTCCTTAATGGAGGTGGGAAGCATGTGAATAGACCTTTTGGACAGATCCAGTCTCATCGAGTTCTCCTCCCGACATTTGTTGAGTTCTTTGATCACCTCAGCATTACTGGACTTCTTGCGTGTACCAGGTGCTGGGTTCGGTCGCTTTATCGTGTTATCCACAGAGAAGGCAACACCTGGTGTTGAACTGCTGGTGTCCTTCTTTCCTTCTTTGGCATCTTTCCCTTTGGTCTTTGATTCTTTGCCGCCATCCTTGACCAAGCTTGCCAGTGCCTTTGGCTCCTTTTCCCTTTCTTTTCCTGCCGGACCACCTTTGGGGTCCTTTTCTTTTGAATCTTTATCTTTTCCTAAAGTACTACTCATGTCGATGCTATCGGGTCTCCTACAGAGTAGCTCATGGGAGTCTCTTTTATTATTTTACTTATTTGGAGTAAAAAGCACCACATACAGCCAAGGATGCTTTTAAAGAAAACATCCCTGAGCACAATCATACATTAAACATTATCCATTAAACACAATGTGATCCAAAGTCCTTTTGTAATTTTGAACTTAAAATGCCACTGAAGAAAAAACCTTTAAGGTAACTGGACTGTGGAATCCATGGGCCATGCAACTGTTTACTCCACACAATCCCCAGTTCTTCAGAAAAAAGTTCTTCCTTTCTACATAGAGTATTTTAGTCCCTTGAAGGTTTGCTGTTGGGAGAATGAACAGAAATTAGATTTTAACAATTATAATTGAAATCATTTCAGGACAATTCAAATTTTACTTCTAAATTCTGCTCCTCTGTTAAACTTAAAATTTTAGTTGCAATAAGTATTCCAAAACTACCCAAGACACATCTATGCTATCTCACAAATATAAAACAGTTCATGTAACTTCATGATAATGTAACAACTTTTGGAACATTGGCATATTCCCTGTATGGAACATTTTGCAGGGGAGGTTTTGTAAAACAGACAAGTCTAAAGGCATGCTGAGCTATAAAAATTGTGCTGAAAAATGTTGCAGGCTATGGTGTAAAATAAGCTACAAACTAAACACCTCCAACTAAGAACAACAATGAGCTGATTTGTAAGACATATCATGGCATAAAGTCCTAAAATAGGAGCCTTAAACATATTCTTCTTTTAATAAGGAGAAAGAAAAACAGACTTTCAACAGGTTGGGTAGGTTATCACTACGCTAAATTAGGAAGTACAGAGTATGCCAGTCCACACAATTATGTTCAAGGTGCAAAGCATATCTTGACTGTAGCTTGCTCCAACTAAACAAGCAGCACAGAGGCTATTGACATTACTGTAACAACCCCACCTAAACACGTATTCTACTACTTATCCTTTACCTTTAATGCAACAAACAACAAAAACATGTTTCAAAAAAGCCCCAATGGAAATCAAACGCTTTGATTTTAATATGGCAAACAGAGGCAAAAGTCTCCAGGCGTCTGTTTAGTCTCTGTTTCTGTTATTCCATTGCATCTGTGTAATGCTCCTTAACACTAGCAAAAGCTAAGCTGCAGCAAAAAAAAAAAAAAAAGAGGCGGGTCTGGCTCAGGATCAGAGCTAAGTGAAAAGGTTAGAACTGCTGGGAGTAATCTTTAGAAGTGGCCTTCAAAAGCATAGCAACATAGCAAAGTCCCAACAACAACGAGTCATATGACCTTTAGGTTAAAAGAAGTGTTTTACCTCTTACACGACATTAAAAAAACCTAAAAGTATATGCTTTAAATATATAAGTTCCTACCCTATAACACTAGGCTGCACTAGACATCCCTGAATAAATATTAATATAAACTGAGAAAAGCCAGGCCAGTATGATTGCTAGGACAGTCTAAACTCTAAACCCAACAGTGCAGACAACTGCCTTTTATGGATGTTCTCCCAGTGCCTTATTTGTGTACCTTGTTCAAAAAATGAACTGAATGCAAACAGTACATACAGTAAATGTGTGTCTGTATACCAGAAGTATATACGATAAGCAGCCACACAAAAGCAGAAGACTTCAGGTTCCTAATTAAATTCATCTTGACATTTACCAGATATAACACATTTTGCAGTTGAAACAAACACATGCACATGCTCAATCCCCTGAGTATGAACACAAACATTAAAATTAACTGCACTTTTCACAAAATTGCAATTGTGGTTTCACAGAAAACTTAACATATTAAGACGGCTAACTATCTAAAAGCAGTGGTTTGTGGGACATTAAACATTTACAAAAAAAGTTAAAAAACAATTGTACAAAAAAAAGTGCAACTGTGTTTAGGAGGTTGCTTTTAAACATCCTATTGTGCCGTCGCTAGGATAACTTTTAAAAAGTTTATTTTGTATCCAGACTTACAATTGAAGTGAGGTTATTCATTAAATTTACTTACATTAAGCCATGATAATATCTAACACACATCATTATTCATTTAACGTCTTCATGAAATGATCTGATACACAGTTGCATTTTTACCAAAGAAAAATGTAAGCCCTAGAGCTTTACCTCTGTGATGTAATGTAACGTGATGTGCCAAAGTGAAAAGGCCACCAATAAAAATAAACTACAGATAGAAACTCAAAAGTAGCAAAAATCCAGCTCTTGTGCTCTTTTACAACAAACACTGTTGGTGTAATCAATACTAAACTGACATATATAAGGGTATATACAATAAGTAAATAAATAGCAAAGAAGGGAGCGCTCTGTAGGATGCAACTAGCGCCGTGGCGATGCTAGCTAACGGCACTCTTTACGAAAAGATTACTGACACCTTGACATAAGGTCCAGTTACCCTACAATGATAAATGAAAATAATCTAAACAGGCAGTGGGGACATTAGTCGCAATCCTTCAGGCGTAAAGCCCTAGAGCTACATGTTGAGCGTTGACTATTAACCCGTCAACCAAGTGTGCTAACTAATGGTCGCTGGCTAACTCGTGTGGGCTGAAAATATCTACAAATAGCCAAAAAAGCTTCGAAACGGGAAAATATTAAATATATACGATGCAGATATTTAGCAACGAAATGCCGAGTAGAGAGAAAATCAGAGTGGCTAATCCGCGAACGACTGACAAGGCAGGAAATAGAAGCAGCAAAGCAAACGTCAGGGAAGCTCATAGTGCTAACGTGCTAACGTCAGCTAGCAGGCAAGTGAACATATTAGCAAAGTGGATTTTTAAGCGACTGGTCAAACGAAGAATGCGGGTAACAAATGGCTACAGTTGTATTGAAGAGGGTGTGTCCACCTGACACATTTACTCACAACAAGCGGTTTGAATCCTATCGCGCACAGTTAAATGTACTCATGTAGGCCCGATCACAGCGGCTGTCGGACCCGATCCGTTGGACGTTGGAAGGGGAAAGCTACGCCGCAGCCAGCTGAGCGAGCAGCAGACACCCAAGGAGCACCGACAGCAGCGACAGTCTGTGGATCCCGACAGAGAGTCCACAAAAAGGAGAATAACTGGGAGTAGACTTTAACCTCAGCGTTGTCCCCTCAATGTATATTTGACAAATAAAAATAAATCAGTAAGGAAAAACAGCGGCCATTCTGAAGCTGAACAAAAGAGTGCGTTAGTACTAACCACCGCAATTTGACACTTAAGCGTTTTTCATCACGAGCTGTATCAAGCGACTATGGAGTGTGTTATCTGCGAAGGGGTGCGTTGCCACGCTAAGGGTGATCAGATGGAGAGGAAAGTGGTGACAATAAATCATCTGTTCATGTAATAATATAACTGTTTTACCTTCAGAGGTGTGACTCCGCCATCCTCGCTGCTGCTTCCTCCTCTTTCCTACACTGCTGCTCCCCTCCCTCTCCTGACCCCAATCTGCGTCATTTGCACGCCTAACCGCTGATCTCACGAGAGTTACAGACATGATTCGGATTGCACACTTTTGTCTGACATGATTACACTTCAATTTCTTATTACACATAGTCATGATTAACATTCAAATAAAATTATGATGTTCTGCACTGTCTGCACTGTAAGTGGACAAAATAATGTCTTAATATGATTCACATATGTAAATATGTGATGTTTTTGTTTGCCCTAAAAAGACATTTTAGAGGTATTTATGGAGATATTACCTTAACGTAAGTTATTTTACGTTGTATGCAACAATATTTTACAAAACCAACAAAAGCCACCAAAGTCGAAATAAAGGCCACATTTTGAACCAATCTATTTGGCAGAAAAAAAACAAAACAAACAAAAAACAAACAAACAATTATGTGCACTAAACGAGAGAGTGTTTTGTAAAACTGGACAAAACCACTGAATGCAAAATTAAATGTTACATACCGCCTTGTCCAGAAGCTAACTGAATATTAAAACCTATTCGAGAAACAACAAAAACAAACAAAAAGGCATAGGATCTCCGTCAAAGAGCCACAGTCACAGCCTTGTTTAATAAAGGGTTTTCTAAAAAAGTTTATTTCTGTGCAGTTTGTGACCTAAGTAAGAAACCGATATTTATATATGTTGAGGGGAGATCAACTAGTAAGTGACGTCAGGTGTAGTCGTGTTTTACTCGTATCTGCATGTAGATGTCACTAAAACACTCTGAAGAAAGACGTGTCACGTGACTTACGTTGGCTTGACAACCTTCTAACCGCTGTTATCCTCTCCAGAAGCTTAAGGTAGTTTTTTAACTCGGTATTTTAACATAGATTTGTGTTTTGACGTGATCACGCATATCAGCTAAACAAATTCTATATAAAGCTAATTTTTATATTCCACAGTAGCTACCCAACTCTCTAAAATAAAGATATCGTTAGGCAGGGTCTAAGACGCTAACGACGTTAGCGTGCTAAAATGGTTAACATCAATAGGATTGTGACAGGGTATTCTCCTAACGATTTTAATTGATAATAATTCACGGGCAGTATGTACACTTATTAATTACGTAACGTGGTTTTGACCTTGATAGTGAAAGAACCTATATTTCGAACCCACTGAAGTATGGTACAGCATGGGTATTTTAGAGTTATTGAATCTTTTGTATTATACAGTATCACCTACACCATCATTTTGTGTTTTTTGTGTGATCTTCATTATCTTCTTCGGTGTTACTGCATTGTATGGAAAGTAATTAGAAAAATACTTCTAATAGTATGTCTATTTGCATTTTAACAGCATGCGTTATTGTATTTTTATTCAAAGCAAGAGATTTTAACAGCGTTTGTATACGTTGTAGCTTCATTTAGGCTGCTTTGGTGCAACTTCTTAAGATTTTATCATTAAAAGCTTGGTGGCGTTTGTCAAACAGACCAAACCAATATTAGCTGAAAAAACAACTAATTTACAACTATGTCCTGTGTAACAACAGTGAATTGATTTGACCATCCGTTCTTTGCAGACATTAGTTACAATTATATTAAATATGATTTGAATATTTTCTTTTGATAGGGCCTTGGGAGACACAATGCCAGAAGTCAAGACCATATTCAAAGAAGTTCTGCCTAAACAAGGTTTGTACTGAAGGTTTCACTTAAAATAACACATTTTAAGTGAAAATGTATAGATTGTAAAATACAAATACTTGCAACATCTGCTTGTGTACATCTGCTTTTTACAGTGACCTGCACAGTGTACTATTAAAAGATCACAATGTTTGATTTAAAGAGAGTTTTACAAATAAAAGATACAAATTATTTAATTTCTTTATTTAAATCTTAAAGACACATCTTGGGTTTGTACTTCTGGCAGTTGTATTCTCAAAATGGCAGAAGGCTATCATTTAGCATGTCTTTCTCTATAACCACAATAGTTGTCCATTCCCCCCCCCCTGCAGGACAACTTTCTATGGAAGATGTCTCTACAATGGTTTTGTGCAAACCAAAGTTGCTCCCACTCAAATCAGTCACCCTTGAGAAACTGGAGAAGATGCAGATAGAGGCCCAAGAGGCGGTCAGACAGCAGGAACTGGCAATGAAGGAACAATCCCAGTAGAGGATCGACGTGAGGATGAGCAACAGCAGAGCAGTGTGGTGGAAGTGGACTAAAGTAAATGTATTTTGCAAAGGGCTACAAAGATGAAAGTGAGGTTAAATGGTACGGAAACTTTTACAGCAATTAGCTTTTGTAATGTATTACATTTCATTTTTGCTCAGCAAATTAGGCAGCTGCTCTCTTGTTGAGCAAATGTAGATAAGAAAAAAAATAAAAATAATCAGTTATGCTGCAAAACGTGGTCTTCAGCACATGAACTCTAAAATAAAAGACAGAAAACACAGCTAGTCCAGAGAGCTAGCTTAAAAAACAGTGTTTTATTATTATTTTTATTGTGTTTATTTTTATATAGTTGAATATAAAGCTGTCAAATCGACTTGTCATCTCTGTACAAACACTGCTTTTTATAAACGACAAAAGGAGTGGCAGTGAAACCAGGAAAATACTGTACAAAACAAATGACTGATGCTAAGAGGTGTGGCACTTGAAGGGTTAGCTTATGAAAATGTATTGAAACACCTTTCAGAAGGTGATCGGTCAAAATTGAAAGTGCAGAGTTTTTCTTTTTTTTTTTTGCCTACCTCAATTGTACATTCTTTCAACTGTTGAAATGGGAAAAATGTACACCACAATTTTGAAAAACACACAAGTAAAAAATTAGCTTTATAATTTTCTTCACTTCTGACGTAAAGGATCTTGAGTGTCTTACAGTTTGACAAGCCCACCGTCTCCTTCACTGACAAATCTCTTCCGGCCACTGATGAGCAAGAGTGGGAGAATGAGAACATTAGAAAAAAATACAAAATACTTTTTAAAGACAGCTAGAAGGTGTGCACTCACCGACATGGACAAACATCTCGTAACTTTACGTCAATTATTCCTCTGCTAAGGCTTTGGTCAACAAACTGCTCCAGGAGGAAGTATGCACGTGGGACATCTATGTTGATTTCAGCGATGTCCATATAAACTCTCATATACCCCTACAAAAGAATATATGTAGTAAACACAAGATAGCATAATCACAAATGATTTTTTTTTTACATGGAGATAGTTTTGTGCATAAAATCCAGTACAAACACCGGGTCGTGCCTTACCCTCCTCATTTGATCCACAGTGATAACTGAAGATGCAGAGATCGACTTAAGAAGCTGCAGAACCATGTTGAATGTTTTATCTCCTTTGGACTCCAAAGCCATCACAATGGCCTGCGAAAAATACCAGCAACATTTAGAGCCACTGTATGCATTAGTACTACAATAAATCACTAACTTCTGTGCCTTCTGTGTTAACACCAGATGTGCTTTCCCTGGGTGGCACTAAGTATGTGGTTCCCCTGGGAATCAAACCCAGGACTCTCTGCTTGCAAGGCAGATGTGTTAACAGCTACACTGTGGAACCACATAAACAACAGCACATCAACACTATAAATATTCTAAATAGAGCAAAATTCAGGTAATGGGAAATGATTTCACTCATTCGTTCTATGCTGTATGCTAATGATGCTAACTAACTGAAGCCAATTATTACCTTATAAACAAACTCGTGATGAAAGTGCGGCACCTCCAGATCCTTCAGGCATCTTTCAGCTTCTTTACAGTCTCCAGACACGATGTACTCCTTCAGCAATAAGCTCATCTGGAAAAACAATAAGAGGTCAACCGAAATAGTAGTTAATACTTCACGTTATTTTTCTGTGAAAAAGCTTCTACATCAGATAGTGGAGGTTAGATTTTAACAAAGGAGACACTTCACAATTATTTTTTGCATCTCGTGTAATTCATACATTTGCCCTGTGAAAGACAGATTTGAATTAACCTCTTTAATGAGCTGCATGACAGGTCTCTGGCCTCCACCTGTCCCCCACTGGTTGTCAATGCGTAGACCACCCAGACTCATCTTCAGCAGCACTGCTGCCCGATCCAGTGCCGCTCTAGAAAACGAAACCTTGGAACATTAATGAATCAAAGAAACAACAACACATTTAACTTGGAAATTAATTAATTCCAGCAAAGTATTGTGGAATCTTACAACAAAGTGTATTCAGTTCTTTATATTGTGACTGGTAAATTTGTTTTTTATATCAATATACCTGCTTTAACTATGGAGTCCTGAAATGACTCCTCAACATTCTTAAAAATGAGATCTCACAAAAACATTTATGATATTGTATGGTATACTGTATAGATATTTTCTTTCATTGTTCCTCTTTTTAAATGTGGTTGCATATTTTAAAATAAAATACACTTCTGACGTATAAAAATCGGGGTTGAAATCCACAACCTTTTTTTCCAGGGCTATCATCCCCATCTTAGAAGGGAAAAAAAGTTTTTAAATGTCCTTGGGCTAATCAAGTGACACACAGGTATGACACGTTGAGAGGTTTTTGTACAAAAGCACAGAAAAACATTGAGGTACTGCAGTAGTCACCTTGACACAAAGCACTGGACAGAAAAGGATAATTGAGAGGTAACACTGCTCATCTCTGCTGTTGACGTTCTCTAAAGATAGTAGTATGAAGCAGCTGTGATCTCATGAGCTTTAATCACATACCTTGCATATTCACAGTCAACTCTGCCTTTGTAACCTTCAATATAACCCTCCGACAATATTTGGTCGCTTACAGCTCGTGCAATGAATTGACCAACCAACTGGAAAAAAAGTAAAAAAAAAAGTGAATAACTCCAAACAAATAATAAAAGGATTTTTTTCTTAACAAAAATTATTAATATTTTACAACATCATCATTTTAACTTTGCCTTTCTTATCCCAATCCTCCAGTTGGTGGAGTCAAATCAGGGACCCAGATGACCTTCAGAAACCTATACATACAATTTGATGAAGGCAACAGTGTTGATACGATTAGCTCATCTTAGCTTAGTTCATCTTAGTTGAGACTAGGTTACATTTTTTCAACTTTACTGATAATTTATTTTTCTCCCAACCATTCAACACTGTCACACTCAAAATTATTTTTTAATCTTTTGTTTTTACCCTCTACTAAACACAGAATAATATAAATGGTGACAAGGCAGCTGCGTTGCACAGCTTTATTTTGAGGTTTTTCAACCCCCAAAATTGCACAGTTTAAATCAGATTAAGCTGTTTTTATTTCCCAAAACTTTAATGAAAACCTGTTAAAATTATTAAAGTTTTAATATCACTCAATCAACTAAAGAGAGAACATTTGAGACTAACTAATTTCAGTTCATAGACAGGGCAAAGAAGGAGTTTGTGAAAAAGAGCCCCAGAAGTTTACAAAAACAAAAGGAAATCTCCCATTCACAAAAACTGGCTGCAGAAGTGTTCAAACTTTAATGAAGGATATGTGAAGAAAGTTTGAAAAATAATGATTTTTATGTATTTAATAGTAAAATGCTTTTGCTAAATTTAGCGATTATAGCTTAACTTGATTAGCCGTAACTAATCCTGATTAATTTTGATCGTGATTAATTATGATTATGTCTTTAACATCTATTGCTTTAGAAACAGTTAAAGTCAAGACCACAATATAGCAGTACTCATGCACTAACCTGCGGGGCCCCAGGTGTGTCCAGGACCAAATCTGGCAGCTCCCTGAGAAGTTTGTCAAAAGAGTTTTCTAGGTCACTGTGTGACAGAACAGGACCACATAAGTCAGACAGCAGCCTGGACGTCAGCTCCCGTTGGCTGGCTTTGGCCTCCAGGGCCAGGGACACAGCCAGCGAGGGCACCTCACTCCTCATGGTTCCTAGATTCAGCCCTTTCAGCAACTCCTGTATTAGTAGAGATAGGGTCAATTACAAAAAAACACACACACAAAAAAAACTGTTCACAGTGCTCCTTCATGAAACACTTACAGTTACTTCGTTTGTATCTCCATGTTCAAAGTACTCTTGCACTATGGGGGTGACGGTCTTCTCAAAGTCTCTCTCATTCAAGGGGGGGACCACAGTCTCATACACACAGTTTTCCTGAGAAAAAAACAACATAATATTTAGAGTAGGGAATCCAATACTCAGACTTGATATCGGCCCAACGTTGGTAAAAGTTTCAGGATCAAAATCAGAAAAAAAAAAAGAAACTTTAGCCCGTCTGATTCCTAAGCCTTAATTCTAGTCTTTATTGTCATTGTAATTGTCGGGGAGCAGTGTGTGGGGATGGTGCCTTGCTTGACCCAAGTCTGCTTCCTTAACCACTAAGCCACCACTGCCCCCTAAAGCTCAACTATACAACCTGCATAAACAAGGACCCAAGATGTTTGATTGCAAATAATTGTAATAAATCGTAGAAAATCATACTATTAATTTCAGTTCCTGACACAAATGACTTCTGTGATCAGTGCGGTCTTTACCTGAGTTTCATCATAGTTGGGATCTTTCTCATCGACCTGTTCTGGCCCATAAACTTCACCAGATCTGCCCCAAACACCTTTGCCTCCAGCCCCACCTGAGAACAAAGATCGGTAACAATATCAACCCCAGTAACAGCCATGCACGTTATTGGGGTTAGAACCACAAAGAGTACACGTTTTGTTTCCGATAACTGAGACAAGAAAAGACAACACAAAGAGTCCTTGAGTTTTGTGGAGTGAGTAATTTAACTGTTTTAGAAACAAAAATTAGAATTTCATAGGTTGCGTATTAACTTGTATTCAGTTTATTTTTGACATGCTTTGCTGTCATGAACTTGTCATGTCAATGTGTCATAAACTACTGCAAGCATAGTAGGAAATGTTAAGTTAAACATTGTACTGCAGGTCCAGTTGATACTGGTTTACCTTTTCTACCTTCTACTATTAACATCTCCAACCTAAGTTGCACAACTGAGTGTGGGTTATCCTGAAACATTTACTTTAGCTTAGCATCAAACTGAAAAATGTTACTAGTGCATTGTCACATTGTTCTTTTTTTGTCCTTTTTAATTACAGTATGTAACATTCCTACCTTTCTTTGGCAGACCTCTGCCTTTGCCCTGTCGGGACTTCCTGTCCAAGAGCTTACTCTTTGGACTGGTGGGAGCTGCTGAAGTTCCCCTGACCATGTCCCCGTTGTCGCTAAGTGAGTCCCCCCTTCCTGAGTCTCTGGAGGAGTTCTTCCGCAGCCTCCGTTTGGCCTTCGCCTTGAGACGTGCCTCATGGATACTGTTGCTCGTTGAGGAAATCCAGTTTCCATTTATCTCTGAGTTTTTGTTGATTGTTGATGACCTGCCGTTGTCTTCGTCACCAGATACAAAAGAGTCACTTAGGTCCTCAGCATCTGGGGGATCGAAGCAAAAGGTCAACGAAAAGATACATACTCAAGAATTCAGGCATACACTTTTCTTCAACTGTTCTTGTCCCAGTGTACAAGTACATAATGGAGGGGTGTCGGCACATTAGCAGCAATTATGGTATGTAGTGTCCTTCAAACGGATTAATGGGATTATGTGATTGAGATTATGAGTTCTCTTAAATAAAACAGCAGTGTACTGCTCACTGCTGTTTTATTTTATCACATATGGAAACTTGTAATGACATGGTTATCACGTGACTGCACACAGGTTCCTGTCTGCACCCCCAATCAAAAGCTACTGATTACCAGGCCAAGCATTTTTTTGCAGGACTTTTATTGGCATTTTATTGGTCTTGTTTAGAAAAAATAGACTTTTCACTAATTGACAAAACTTACTACCAATCTTAAAATGTTTTTGTCAACTACCAAAAAAATAAAAAAAATAATAGCACATCTTAAAATAACGAATACTAAGGACAGTGAAATGTATCTTCACAGTCAAACTAACATGAAAACGAGGAAAACTGAGATCATTGGGTTGTTGACAGGATTTTATTTTGATTTAATGTATGTATGTAGTAATATCAGCCGAGCAGGACATAACCTAAAGGCTGTACAACAAAACAGACAATGACCCACATCCGCAGGAAAAGTCACAGGTACCTACATCTGATTCAGCGGGTGCTGACACACTTACCAACTGGGTTTGCGCTCAGCCAGGCCTCGCAGTCAGCTGCCATGTTTTTACAGTGTCACGGATGTTGTTCACGTGAATAAAAAAGATCCAAACGAAACCTGCGAGCGCGGATAATTGGGATATAGAATTATTAACATGTCTAGACAAGCTGCATCGCAGCCTGCCTCCCCTCCCCCTCATTCATTCATAGTCACAGTTGATAAACAATGGGTTGACGCTGCTTTAGCCACAAAGCTCACTGTCAACTGCGCAGCGACGCCAACTCCAACTGTAACTGCACAACAAACGCATATATTGCACAACTGTATGCTTTAAAATAACCGGGTGACAAGTCGTTCAGAAGTTCCGGCCCACAATTCACTCGACAACAGTCTGACGCAGTTGGTAATAAGTGAAACCCGTTCAGTGTTCGCCGTTCAGCTCTGTGGCCTCGACTGTCAAAGCTCCTAAACACCACACCAGAAACATGCAACTGTCTGGGATTTCCTCTTAATAACTGCGGCCGCAGATGAAACACTGACCTTGTGTTTTGGACTCTTATTCGCGCTGTCCAGGAACAATATTTATGTTTTATTCTCAACCCCCACAGCGCAGGCACGCAGATCTTTGTTTGTCTCCACCGATTGGCTGACAGATGACTGCGACTTTACCACAAAGAACCAATGAAAATGCAACACGGGATTTTCTTCTCACGAATTCAACAAGGTTTGTGGCAGTTTGCTTCCCAGCCGCTGATAAATGTCTGCCCCCTATTGTTCGTATTTTGCAACTACACGATGAGGACTTCATAAATACATTATCTCTAGTCCACGGATAAAAGTGATATATTTATTTATGTGTTCATTTTCAAATGACCTACTAAAACTCACTTAATACATGGAATGATTAAGATGAAGTAGGCATTTAACCCAAACACAATTGTTAAAACCCGCTGTAGTGTTCCCTTTACGCCACTGTTTCTTCAAACTGACGGTGCTAGTTTCCGCCGTGACATAGTTCGTATAAACAGGAAATCAAAGGAAAATTAAGAATAACACTTCCTTACCTTATTATACAAGTAATAAATAGAGCAATATTATAAAGACCACCTTTGTCACTTCTAAAAACTGTGGAGCACCAGGTAAATTACATTTATCTTATAAAACCCAGTGTAACCAGGATCATTATATAAGATATACTAGGTGCTTCTTAACATACATTTTCACGAATAGTGTGATTTCAAAATCAGTTACTGGGTCAATTTTCCTCCTCCCCTGTTCTTTATTGTAGCCTAATGTTCTGCAGATGTATTCTTTAGCCTAGCCAAAATCTGGGAATACACTCTCCTGGGTTGTACACCCTGTTCTATCCAAGTGGTTCTCAAACTCTTTTAAACGAGTTCTACCTCTGAAAATATTTGGCTATCCATGTACCGCCAGTATGGTGACGATTAAATAACGGCATCACTTAGTTCAGTTTCGCTAACTACGAAGAAAACGAAGGTTATTATTATAGTTTATAACACATACATATATATACATTGAGAGAGATAAAAAGGGGGAGCAAGCAAGAAATTAAAGCTGTTTGATAACTGTATTTAATAACTCACAGTCCTAATCAGATTCCCTCACGTACCACAAGAGGGAGCCCAAGTACCATCAGTGGTATATCTTCAGAACTACAGAAGTCTCCTGAATAAGGAGTGAAAAAGTCTTCAAGAAACTTAGGGTTAATTTTAAAACTGCACAGATTTCTTTTCTCACAAGCCTCTGTAAACTAGCGTCATCCGCTGGGGGCGCCCTTACACAACACTTAGAGCATGCGTACATTCCCATGAGCGGAATACTGTTAATTTAATTTTTAAGTCTACACTGTTAATCTACAGTTAGGGGTTAAATGACAGGAGAACAAAAACAATTAAACACTTTATTTAAGTTTTTTAATATTATTTTTTCAAAAAAAAATACATGAAAAAAAAACCAGTACCAAATTTCACAGAATCAACATTCACAGTGTACAAAAGTGTGTGGCTTCATTGTTCTTCTGAAATAAATTACCATAACATCAAGAAATGCTGATAAATACAACACGTGGTCCAGTTAAAGGTATTTCAAAATTTAAGGCATGATCACGTTGGCAGCAATGACTGAAATAAAACTACAAGAGTCAAAAAAATAAATTAATTAAATGTAAATCCTGAGCACTTTGCCATACATCAATGACTGTTAAATATATAATAAGGCTGAGAATCTGTCTCAGCTTTAAACCTGAGTAAAAGTCCCTCCATGGGAATTTCAAGTCATTTTGTAGTTATAAGTTTATATCAATGTATTATAGAGAAATCCTAATTAAAATTAAATTAATAATGAAAACACATTGATAATTAGCAAAGGGTTAAACTAGAGTTGGGCTATGGATGTTCGTCTTCTCACTGATTTTCATAAAAACCCACCCATATCACAAAATATTGCTTTAGTTAACAAAAAATAGAACAATAAAAGGGAAATTAAAATTTACAGCAATACTTAGCATTTGCTGTAGTTTTTTTCTTAAATCTTAATTTTAAGGCTACAAATGTGAGTCTTTTTCTCATTTAAACAGCAAAACTGATAGACATGTTCAAACTTGTTAGTATGATTATGTTGCATCATCGAAGCTGTAGCTGGCCATGTCCAAGTACTGACACATCCAGGACAGATAATTCTTTACTTTCCTGGGGGACACGGGTCAAACTGATGTCACTGAGCAGTCATGGGTTCATAAAAAGCATCTGACAAACTCTGCTCTGCCAGCTGTGACAGATATTTCTGTAAAGGAGACATTTGAAAACAATACAAATAAATAGAAGCAATGACACAGGTGGGCATTCTCATACAAAATGTATTCAGTGTATTTATGATTTCTGAACCAAATTTGCATAACCTTATGGCAGTGGTTCCCAGAGTTGGGGCCATCACTGAGTTATAATTGTACAGTAAGTCCTCTCTTCATTGAGAATTGCTATTTCATTTAGGGACTTAAGTATTTTCAATAAAGTTTAGTGGAAATATGAAGCAACAGCTGTGAATATTCACTATGATCATTTTTAATACAGGTTTAAACAAGCCCATTTATTTTATTTTTTTAAGGCTATGACAAATCGTCACATTATATGTAAAACAGTAATATACTAATTTAAGTTGATAAGACAGTAATGTTAGATTAGCAACAGGACTATGTGGTACCTGCAGATTTTTGTAGTGCACAGCGCTGCGGCAGTGTGTCGTCTTTGCGTTCTCCTCGCTTGTGTAGAACAATCCACACAGTTTGCAGAAGAAGCCCGTCCTTGGTACGATGAACTCCACTCCTGTAAAAAAGCTAACTTTATTAAAATTGTCTGGAGAGAGAAGAAAGGTAGATGGAGATTGGTATTTTTAAAGGTCTAACGTTAACATACGGCAGACATACAGTTCTATTACCATCAGTAACCATCAGTACTGTTCTGTTAAGGTCTAAGCTTCAGGCTTGACACTTACAGGCCATTTGCTTGGCCTTGTCTTTCCAACTTGAATTATAACATAAATAATCCTCTTTGGTTTTTATTTCACTGTTTACAGAAATAGAACAGTGAGTGGCCAACTAAATCCAGTCAATTAGAGTGTTAAGATGAGTGTTAAGCCCCTATTAATGGTATCAATGATACAGTAGGAGTAAGACGGTCCAGTCAAGAACCCTTGAACTTTTAATGTCCTTGACAACGAGACTAAACACAGAACAGTCTGACAGAAAGTATTCAGACAATTTCTTAACGGTGACTGTGAGAACACATATCAATAACAGCATCGAAATGAATGGATTGTTACCCAAAGGGATGCTGTGTTCACTGACAGCTTTGTCTTGTTCACGAGCTGGTGAGGTGGCCATCATCTCTGCAACATATAATGGAAAAGTTAATAAAAAGAAGATGACAACATAAAGAATACTGCTGTAAACAAAGTTTATTTTGCTGTTTGAATTTAGTTGAATTTACTTTAATTAGACAAAGACACGTACCTTTTTTGCCATCCTTATGTTGTAATCCGTTGGTGATTGTTTCTGTGACATGTAGTGTGTCCTGGCTCTTGCTGGTATCTGACATTGTCACGTGAGGCTCTAAAAGATCACTGTTGGGGACTTTGTCCTCTAGACTTGTCTCCTCTAGTGCAGTCTTTATGTCTTGACATGGAGAGTTGCTCGAGTGGTTGAGGCTCTGGTCAGGAGCTTGACTTTGATTGGCCGATTTTTGTTCCTCTGGAACTGTCGCCGGCACGACATTCTCTTTATCGTCTGTGATGTAAGTGTGCTTGCGGTCCATGGATTCTACACACGACTTCTCCTGATTAGTCTTCTTATCAACGTCCTGCTCTGGTGATAGGGGGGGCATTGGTACGTGCTCTTCTACTGCTTCTTTCTCCAACACTGGTTTGGGGCCGGCGGTGTCCTCATCGATCTCAGGAAGGTCTGGTTCAATGATTGAATCGTCTTCTTCACCCACTTCATCTACAGTGACTAGTTCCTCCATATTCTTTGGGTACCAACACTCCTCATCAGTGTCAACGCCACTCTCTGGCTCTTTTTCCTTGGAAAATTAAATAAATGTAGGTATGTGAGTTCAGAGCAACATGTTTATATCCCCTAAGCGTGGGTTCTTTGAATCAGTTTGAAGGGTTACTCACTGTGTCTCTGTCTTTGTGACATTCAGTGGCCTCCTTCGGTGTATCACTTTTCTTAGGTGACACAGTTCTCTCTTTCGTCTGACCAACCTGAGAAAACAACTGGGTTAGTTACCACAGTAAAGTATATATCAAGAGTACTACAGAAGAAAAAAGCTACTCACAGTATTCTTAGCATTGTTTTCTTTGTCGAATTTTTCTGCAGCATGTCTTCTGTTTGACTTCTTGCTCCTGCCCCTGGATGGAGAGCTCTGCCTCTTTTCCTCTGGTGTCCGGCGCAGAGACTCCTCACTCATTTCAACCTCAGAATGCCGTGACCTGCTGTGATATTCTCCACCGTCCCTTCTCCTGAGTTTTGAGTCATGCCTTTGGTATGGGAGTCTGGGCTGCTTGTCTGACTTGTACATTTGTTCTAAAATGTAGAAGTCGTCGTCCATGCTCCTGTAAGAGTTAAAAGACATTCCTTGGGGGCTGCCTCGTGAGTGCCACTCTCGATTTCCCCTCATTGCTTCGCTCCCACCGCTGCTTCCTCCTCGCTCATCTGCAGATCTAGAGCTCATATGATCCAGTTGTTTCTGGTAGGCCTTCCGACGATCAGCTGCTCGTCCGTTGTGTCGGTCATCCTCTATGCTTCCCCCATTTCTCCTTGGGTCATCTCTCTCTCGCTCATCCTCACCTCTTCTTAACTGTGGTGACCAATCCCACATCCCCCGGCTGCAGACAATACCGGGATTACTTCTCTCCAAATTCCTGCAGGCTCCCCCCTGTGGGCTTTGACCTGAGTTGCATGGTGTAACACTGGGGCTGTGCGAATGCGGACTCAGGGAGCGGCCGATGGGGCTGCGGGAGCGTGTTCTCTCTGGTAGGTAGCTACAGGGAGATAAAAGATTTGAATAGACAAAAGTTGAAAGTCCTTCTGATAATCAAAAACTAAAAGTGTCACTCACTGATCCAGTTCTTGCATCTCATCTCTTTCCC